CCTGTCACTCTTCCTCATGCCCTTTCACCCCTCACTCTCACACCCCAGCCTCCACGGGGGCCAACATTCCCCACAGGTGTAACAGCACCAAGCACCGCATCATCTCCCCGAAGCTGCCCCCGCGCCCCTCCCCCTACCCCGCCCTGACGGAGGTGCAGAACCTGGCCGGGGGTGACGGCGGGGGCGAGTCGGGGGGCGGAGGCCCTGACAGGAAGACGGTGACCCCCAGCCTCATTCCCCAGCAACAGCAGCAACAGCCGCAGCAGCAGCAGACATCAGGGGGCAACTCAGGGGTGCCGGGAGGTTCCCCAGTCCCGGTCAGCCAATCTCCTTCCTCGGCGGGTAGCCCCCAGCAGCGCTGCTCGCCCTTGGCCCCCAGCAACGGTTTCTATGGCAACCAGCGTGGCCTGGCGACAGTGACGCTGCCTCAGAATGCGGTGATTGTCATGGCGACGCCCATTGGGTCCGGAAGGGGAGGGCCCAGGGGCGATGGGGAGGGCCTCCCGAAGCAGGAGAATGGCACCAGCACGGCGGCACGCCTGTCCCCGGCCCTCGCTGCCGTCACGCACTCCAGCCGCCTCCTCCTGTCCCCCATCGCTCAGCCCTCAAGCGCCTCACCCCCGGCCGAGCCTGCCCCCACTCCAGCACCCTCGCTCCCCTCCGGCACCCCAACAGCCGCCGCACACGTCCGGCTGACCAGCACCCCCAGCTCCACCGCCGCTGCCCCAAATACCAGCACTCAGGCCTCCCCCACCCCCGGCGTCGCGACCCTCAGCTTGACCCTGCTGCCCAGCCCCCTGATAGGAGGCCTGGTGCTGACGGACAGGCTAGTCTCAGGGGCAGAGTCGCTGATCCTGCCCTCCCACTCCTCCTCCTCCTCCTCCTCCTCCTCGTCATCCTCATCCTCGTCCACTTCCTGCACCCCTCCTGCCTTCGACCCCGACTCCTTCCTCAACAGCCCCAAGCGAGGACAGACCTACGGGGGCACAGCCGCCTCCCGAGACTTGCTGTCCCTCTCCCTCTCGGTCCCTTCCAGTTTCACTCCTCCGTCCTCGTCCCTGTCCCCTGTCTCCCCCTCTGCCTCCTCCTGTTCCCGCTCCCTCGCGCTCGCCCTCTCGCCGGCCTCCCCCTCCAGCTCTCCCTCCTCCCTCTCCTCCCTCTCCTCCTCCTCCTCTTCCTCAGCTGCGGAGCACGATGACGAGACTGGGAAGGGCAGGGAGGGCGAGGCAGGAAGAGAGCCCCAGTTCCCAGACGCGGGCGCCCCGCCCTCTTCTCTCTGCTCCACCTCTCTCACGCCGTCTCTCTCCCTCTCGCTGTCGCTCTCCCCGGATGGCCAGCCAGTCTCCACGCTGACCGCCCCACCCCTCCTGCCCCTGTCCCTGGGGCTGGCGGGGGCAGAGAGCCAGGGACCGGGGACCAGCAGTGAGGGAGACGTCCCGCTCCGTGATCGTGGTCCCCACGGCAACAGGAGCGAGCCGTCCCTGGCAGACCCGCCCCGCCCCTCCCAGAATCCCTCGCCGGAGGAGCGGCCCTGCCAGGACCAGCGGCCTCCATCCGAACTGCTGCTCCTGCAGCCCAAAGGCAGCCTGTTCTTCCTGCAGGACGAGTGCAGCTCCAGCTCGCCGGGCGCGGGGCTGCAGGGGGACAGCGCCCCCGAGGGTGGCATCCAGGTCAAGGAGGAGCAGGGGTCCCCCTTCTCGCCCGCGGTCTTGAGGTACGAGGGGGAGGAGACCCCCATGGACACTACGGGCGACGAGGGCAAGCAGGAGGAGGGGGCAGGGGAGACACTGAGTAGAGACTTGAGAGCGGAGAGGGAACCGGAGAGGACAGAGGCAGAGAGCATAACAGCAGAACCTCCCAGCGAGGATACAGAGCTGTATACCATGATCCAGAAGAACCTGGGGCCCGGTGCCGGCTTTGGCGGTGCTGGCAGCGCAGGAAATGGCCAGCTGGGACTGACAGACCACTTCGAGATCTCCTTCGATAGCCAGTTTCCAGACTTCATCTCCGAATTCATCGCTGAAGAGCATCAGCAAAATTCTGGAGGATCTGCTTGTGATTCAGGGTCTGTCAGTGCTGTTCCCTTTGCTGCTGCTGTTGCCCCCCTGCTCACTCACCCCCACATCCCATTCCCAAACTTCAGCCTGGAATCCCCCTTCAGCACCACAGCAGCTGCAGTACCGACGGTATCCACTGGGGGGCAGTATGTCCCATCGCAGCAGTCCCAGACTCCACAGCCTTCCTCTGCCCCCTTCCTCTCCTTCCTCAACCAGACCTCCTTGGCACTGTCACCCACGGCTGGTTCAGGAATATCTGCACGTCGCCTGGTGGCCATCACTGACTTCTCCCCCGAGTGGTCCTACCCTGAGGTGAGGCCTGCTGGGAAATTGATTTGGTTTTGGTGCATAGGAAGCTGCTTAGAAATGAATTTTTTGATCAGTCTTATAATATTATAAATCATTTCGATTTTGCTTATTTTCTGTTTTGCCTTCAGGAGTGTTTTGTACTAGAGCAGACTCCCATTGTGCAGTGCTCTGATCTATTCCAGGTTTTTCCAGCTGCAGGAGGCTCCTGTTTACCACTAGCAGGTGTTTGAGATTTCAAGGACATTGCTGCTGATCTTCATGTCTTTTATTGGTCTTGTCAGCCTTTCCTATAATTTCCAGTGTTATTTATGTTTAGTTATATTGTGTATTATCCACCATGTGCACATTAAGTTGTCAGGCCCCCTGTCTCAGTTGCACTACATTGACCCCTGTGTCATCCGCAGGGGGGAGTGAAGGTTCTGATCACTGGCCCCTGGACTGAACTGTCGGGTCAGTACTCCTGTGTGTTCGATCAGAGCGCCGTCCCAGCATCACTAATACAGCCAGGGGTCCTGCGCTGCTACTGCCCGGGTAAGACAGTTTGGACTCAGTGCATCAAAGCTGTACAGAGCACTGCACTGTGTGACCAAGTGTGTCAGAGCTGTCCTGAGCACTGCACTGTGTAACTGTGTGTCAGAGCTGTCCTGAGCACTGCACTGTGTGACTCAGTGTGTCAGAGCTCTACTGAGCACTGTGCTGTGTGACTATGTGTCAGAACTGTACTGAGCACTGTGCTGTGTAACTGTTTGTCAGAGCTGTCCTGAGCACTGCGCTTTATAAATTATTGTCAGAAGTCTACTGAGCACTGATACAGCTATGAAACATACAGATATGGGCCACAAGGGGTCAGTGTTTTCTGGCTCATTGTCCAAATACCCTGCTGCCAAAGGTTCTGTATATCAGTCATCTGATCCGTTTCTTCACTGCTAAAGCAAATTGTCATGGGTCCATTTCTGCTGGTCTGCACGGTGTAACATCTCCTTTAGCATTCCAGGCTTCTGTCTTACAAACTAGTGATTTTCTCAGGAGGAGATCTGGTGAAAAAGAGAAGTCTAAACTTCAGCTCTGCCAGGCTCAGAACACATTAGCTCACTGCATAGTTTGCTCCCGCCTTTCTCAGAAGTGTCTGTGGAGGGCTTCATCAGCTGGAAAACTGGGCATATAAAAATACTAAAACTAGAGGGTGCAAGTGGAAACGACATGGAGGTGCATTTAAACGCGAGGACAGGAGGTACTTCTTAACTCAAAGGGTGATGGGAGTGCGTAACAAGCTGCCTAGTCCTTGTTGAATCCGATACCCTGCCTTCTTTTAAGAAACAGCTGAAGGTAGAAAGATAGCACCCACAGCCACCGAGAGTCGCCCCACTCCTTTACCCTTCTCCCAAAGATGTGTCTGTGCCCACACTGGGTGAGCTGAGGGGCAGACAAGGCAGATCTATTCACTTCTGTTCTTGTGTCCTTATTCCTCTCTCTCTCTGCCTCTCCCAGCCCACGAGGCAGGCCTGGTGTCTCTCCAGGTGTGGCAGGACAATACCATCCTCTCGTCCTCGGTGCTGTTCGAGTACCGCGCCCGCAACTCCGGGGCCCTGCCCAGCTCCCAGCTCGACTGGCTCTCCCTGGACGGTGAGTACCCCAGCCGTAGACACAGACGACTGGCATCCACTGGCTGTGGGAGACATGAGGGAGAACAGAGAGGTAAAGGAATTCCTTGGAAAGCGTGAGAGAACACACATAGATGTGTGTGACACAACACAGAACAGAAAAGAGAGCAGACACAAACACAGCAGCAGCAAAATAATGCAGAGCTTGTGCCTGTCTTGCAACATGCAGGGCACATACTCTAGCATAAGGTTGATCTTCATGTCACCTCAACATGTTCACCATTTCAAGTGTGGGAGACCTGTGCAATTCTCCTGCAGATTTATTTTCACCCCCTGGGCAGCTCCATTTCAGTGGAATTTGGAGCAGTAAATGCATAAAAAACCGAGAGGTAATAACAAGTGTAGAAATACAAAAGTGTGTGTGAGTGGGGGAGCCTTCATGACAGTGTGTGGGTCTCTTGAGAGCGTGCCAGTTCACATACATGTGTGTGGATATTTGAGTATGAGTGTATTAGTGTAGTGTGTGCGTCAGTCTGTTTGTGAGTGAGCTGGCTGGCAGTGCTGTGGACACCAGCCATTATTCTTGCCAGACTATCAGGCTCAATTAGAGCAAATTATCAGAGCCCTGGGAAATCAGATTAACTGCCCTTACGCCCCACCCCAGGAAGGATTAAATATACTGTGAGTGCACAAGGGGGGTTTAGAGACCCTTACTGAGATATAGTGAAACATGCTGAGAGACACTGAGGAATGCTGAGATGTACAGGGAGACACAGAGGCATGCTGAGACACACTAAGCCCTGAGAGACACTGAGAGACATACTGAAATGCACTGAGAGTCACTGAGAGAAACGCTGAGATGTACCAAGAGACACTGAGGCATGCTGAGACGCACTGAGGACGCTGAGGCATGCTGAAACACACTGGGAGACACTGAGGCATGCTGAAACACACTGAGAGACACTGAGACACGCTGAGACACTGAGCTGCATTGCGGACACTAAGGCATGCCGAGACCCACCTAGAGACACTGAGGCATGCTGAGGCACATTGAGAGACACTGAGACATGCCTTGACACACTGAGATGATGGAATGTACCAAGACATACTGAGAGGTGTTAAGATGCACTGAGAGATAGTGAGACAGGAAGATACACACTGAGAAGCACTGAGACATGCTAACACACACTTTTTAATTAAATGAATGTATAAAAACATTCAGGGTAATAAAATATTATTGAGTTTCACACTGTTTCTCAGGCTGTGACAGGAGATCACTCACTGAGGAACTCTATTACGTTTCCTCCCCCAGTGGGGTTGGAAGCTATTCTGATTTTGGCAGGATTGGGAATTCTGGGATTAGATTTGTTATTTTAGGGAAGAATGTTTTTCTAATCCCTGAGTATTTCTCACAGTGCAGCAGAAAGTGCATTTCTGTCTCTGCTGCTCCCTGCTGGCATTAGTTGCACAGCCTGTCCTCTCTTGGCAGTCAGGCCTGCCTGTGTCCAGTTTCTATGCCTAGGCTGTGGTCACTGAGCCTGCCCTCTGGACAGCCAGTTTGTCTGGCTGTGTCTAGTTTCTGTGTCCATGCTGTGGTCAATGAGCCTGTCCACTCTGGGGAGCCAGGTCTGTCTGTGTCCAGTTTCTGTGGCTAGGCTGTGGTCACTGAGCCTGTCCTCTCTGGGCAGCCAGGTCTGTCTGTGTCCAGTTTCTGTGGCCAGGCTGTGGTCACTGAAACTGTACCTCATCAGATCTGTTTCTCCTTGTTGTCTTCCTACCTTGTCAGATACAAGGCCAGTGTGTTTTATCTTTTAAGGGCGCTTTAGTGATCTAATTTGTGTTGGTGTGCGTGTCCTCATGTGTGAGATAGTGTTGTGTGATGTGGTGGTTTTGGTTAACTCAGATCTGTGGTGTTTAGCAATATTTTATTGCTGTTTTCTGTATGTTGATTAACAATTAGTATTGCCCTAACTTAGCTCAGGGTGCATTGTTTGGTGTTTTTTTGTGCAGACGAAGTTTTTACTGACTTCTGTGGGGTGTTTGTCCCGTTTAGTGTAATTCTGGTCTGTGATTGGATGATACAATTCACTGCCATACAGGGCAATGGGTAAGATTACACTTTCAAATATTTAGAGCCAGATTTCTGAGGGGGTGTTGATATTGTAGAGCTGCCTCCTCATGACATAGAGAGCCCTACATGTCTTCTTCAGTGCCCTTACTGCCAGGTCAAAACTCCCCGATGAACTGATCTTTACACCAATGATCTTTAGTTCCAATATGTTGTTATTCAGTGTGTAGTGGTATCTGTTTTCCTGAGATCTGGCATTCTCTGAAAAACTCTTGTCTCTGGATTTAAGTCTTATCCAGATTGCTCATGTCTGACAGTACTGCTCCTGCAGCGCCAGGCTCTGTTGTAGCCAAAGGAGAGGGTCATTGATTTAGAGCAGGAACTTGTTCTCTGTGTGGTGTAGGGTGTTAGCTCATTGACAGAGATATTGATCAGTGTTGGGCCAGGAGCTCAGACTGTTCCCACAACTCTGATAGCTCATTGATAGTGATCAGTGAACAATGTTGGACCACTCACAATCACAATAGAGCTATTGGGCCAGCAGTTGGGCCAGGAGCTGCAGGAGCTACACCTTCCCCTGGTTACTTTTCACACAGTCACCCTGGTAGTTATTGGGGTGAGTCTGTCTGCACTTGTCTATTTGGGGCGATCCAGACCCGAGGGTAACACAGGCTCAAGACGAGGTTGAAAAGTTACAGCAGGACTTGCAGCTCAGTATTTCATTGTTGACTCCAATCTTGGTCACAGAGAGCCTGGAGTTTGTCCAGTTGTTCCTGGTCTGTGATCAGGGAATCCAAAGGTCCGCTCTCTACCCCCTGTCCTCTCTCCTCTCCCCTTACTCCTCACTCCTCTCTTCCACCCCTCTGCTCTCTACTGTCTTCTCCCTCTCCCTCCTTCTCCTCTTTCCTTCCCCTGTTCTCCACTCTCTCCTCTCTCCCTCCCGACAGCTCCAGTTCTAGATTTAGTTCAATGAGGGAGTGGAAATGTTGGACGAGGTCTGGAAGATTAAAGTCTTGGCCCGACAACCCCCCCCCCCCACCTCGAGCTCCCCTCCTCCGCATGGAAACTCCGTAAAGCCGAGAGATAAGCGGCGGATTCCTGGACCTGCGCAGGGGGGTTATTTTAAGCTGCTTTTTGTTTCCAACTGTCTCTCCAGCTCTGTCTTAACCCTTCCTCGCCTCCCAGGCTTTTATCTTTTCTCTCTGAACTCTCTGTACTGTTCTTTTACCCTCATTTCACTGGGGATTTCTACACTTCATTGTGCTTTGACTGTGATTTGATTGTGCTTTACTGTATTTTTACCATGATTTCATTGGGCTTTACTGCACTTTATTGTGCTTTTACCCTGTTCTCACTGTGCTTTACTGCACTTTTCCCCTCATTTCACAGGGCTTTGCTGCAGTTTACTGTACTCTTGCCCTGATCTCACTGGATTTTACTGAACTCTGCTCTTCTTTTACACTCATTTCACAGGGCTTTACTGTACTATTATGCTGATCTCACTGGGCTTTACTGCACTATACTTTTACTTTACCGCAATCCCAGTGGGCTTTCCTGCCTGCACTTTACTGTTTTGATGATGATAATAATAATAATAATAATAATAATAATAATTATTATTATTATTATTATTATTATTATTATTATTGCTTACACTTATATTGTGCTTTTCTGGACACTCCACTCAAAGCGCTTTACAGGTAATGGGGATCCCCTCCACCACCATCAATGTGCAGCCCCACCTGGATGATGCGATGGCACCCATAGTGCACCAGAACGCTCACGGTACAGTACAGTACAATCCACTGAGATCTTGATAATGTGATCTCAGTAAATAATACTCTTATCTTATCAGTGGGCTTTACTGCACTGTACTGTGTTTTTACCCCAATCTCAGTGGCTTTACTGTACTGTCCTGTGTATTTACTTTGATCTCAGTGGGCTTTACTGAATTGTACTGAGATTCTACCCTGATCTCAGTTGCTTTACTGCACTGTACCGTGTTGATTCTCTGATCTCAGTGGATTGTACTGCACTGTACCATGTATTTACTCTGATCCCAGTGGCTTACTGGACCCTGTACACCCTGAGCTTAGTGGGCTTTACTGTGCTGTGTATTTACTCAGATCTCAGTGGGCATTACTGCACTGTACTGTGTTTATATCCTGATCTCAGTTGCTTTACTGATCTGTACCGTGTTGATTCTCTGATCTCAGGGGATTGTACTGCACTGTACCATGTATTTACTGGACCCTGTACTGTATTTGTGCCTTGATCTCAGTGGCTTTGCTGCACTATACTGTGTACCCTGATCTCAGTGGACTTTAGCCAGCTCTGAAGGAGTGCGTGACAGTGTGCTGGGACACAGAATAGTCTGTCAGAGCCAAGTGCTCCCAGGAGGAGGGGTATTTTTCCAAGGCTCATCACTCATCCTGGGTTTGTTCTGTACCAGAATCCCACTGCCAAAACCTCATACAGCTCCCCCTCCCCCTGGTGATTATTAATGTCCAGTAGCTGCCTCTTACTGTCATCACTCCCCTGGTGCAGGGAGACCAGTTGGATCCAGTTACAGGCACACAGTCACAGTGAGCACAGACAGACTCACACAGTGTAACACACACTATACAGGGCACAGGCACAGGCACACACAGTGCACAGTACAGACACAAACAGTTCATAGTAAAGACACACAGTACAGGCACATGCAGTTCACAGTACACACAGGTAACAAAACACATTACACAGAGTGTGTCAGTGTGAGAGTATATCAGTGTGTCAGGGTGTGAGAGTGTATTTTTGTATGTGTTTATCAGTGAGTGTCAGTGAAGTTAATGACACTAGTGTGACAGTGTTGTTAGGCTGCCCAGCCTGACCTGTTGCTATTCCTGGCTGGGTAGCTAAACCTATTTAAACTCCAGACACAGGACGTCCAGTCCAGAAGGGGGTGTGTGGCATCTGTCCAGATTAGTTTTGTCATAATGCAGCAAAGTGCATCCCTGCTGAGGACAGTCCTGCCTTTCCTAGCCCAGACGATTCTGTCACCTTCTCTCTTTCGCTCGGCGATCCCTCGTCTGTCTCCAGCTCCCTCTTCCCTCCCTCTCTCTTTCTCGCTCCTCCTACCAGGAAGATTGACTCCCTCCTTCCTCTGCACCCCTCCCCTCTGTCTCTCTCTCACTGTTGTTTTGGCCATGTGCTCAGGGCGTCACAATGCCCCCTCCTCTCCCCCGCTCCCTCGCTCTCTCTGTCTCTCTCTCGGCCCCTTCTTACTTTCCCAATCAGACGCAGTTGCTCAGACACATGAGGCAGCAATTGGAAAACCTGCGGGAGTTTCGCAGAGTGTCTGAGGCAGTTAGGACAGCGTAGTAGCCCAAGAATCCAAACAGGGAGATGGGAAGTTCAATTCCTGTGGGTGTCTCTTCGGAAGCGTTTTCCACAGCACGTTAACTTTTATGTGTGAAGGAACAGACTGGAAGTCATAGTCCGCTGGCAAGTTTGAACAGATGGTTTTGTCCCAGTGGTTCTTGGAGCCATTCCTCCTGTCTTCTCGCAGGGACATCAACACCCCTTGTCTTCTTGCTTCTCCTTGGGAAGGATATTCTGGACGGTCAATCCTGTCCCCCTCCCTTTGGCTCTGTCTCTGTCTGGCGTCAGAACGGCAGATTGTGTTGTTCTCCCTGCAAAGCTGTGAAGAGATGAGGTGTGTGAGTTTCCTGCGCTGTGTTTGAATGGCTTCAGCAGCCATCGGCAGTAGGGGCAAAGTATCAGTGCGGGACAGCAGTGCTGCTGCAAAGGACCACTTCTGAGCTCGTCTTTTCCCAACACAGTTCTTGTCCTCACGGCTCAGCTCATCTCAGCACAGATCATCTCTTCTTAGCACACATCATCTGAGCACAGCTCATCTCTTCTTGGTACAGGTCATCTCTTCTCGATACAATTATCTCCGCACAGCACTGCTCATCTCAGCAGAGCACTGCTCATCTCTTCTCCGTACAGCTCATCTCTTCTCCATACAACTATCTCTGCACAGCTCATCTCAGCACAGCACAGCTCATCTCTTCTAAGTACATCACATCTCAGCACAGATAATCTCTCTCAGTACAGCTCATTTCGTCTCAGCAGAGTTCAGCTCATCTCTTCTCAGCTCTTCTCTTCTCAGCTCAGCTCAGCTCATCTCCTCTCAGCTCACCACATCTCAGCTCAGCACAGTTCATCTCATCTCTTCTTGGCACAGATCATCTCGGCACAGCTCAGTTCAGCACAGCTCACCTCATCTCAGCAAAGATCATCTCTTCTCAGTACAGCTCATTTCAGCACAGCTCATCTCTTCTCAGCTTAATTATCTCAAGACTGCTCATCTCTGCTCTCCTCAGATCATATTGGATCAGCTCAGCTCATCTTGGCTTATCTCTGCACAGCATAGCTCCATCCGCTTTCTTTGGTTTCCCATTTTCTCCTTGATTTTTTCACCTCTCTCCTTTCCTTCTTTCCCTTCTTACTGTTTGTTGTTCTCCCTGGCCTCTTTCATCCCTGCTGTTCTTTGGATGAGGTGTCTGCGGGGAATCAGCTAGTGATAACCGCTCGTTGTCTCATGACTGAGGCTCAGGTGTTCCAGGAATTGCCAAGAGGGATGGACGCAGGTGTGTGTGACTTTCCTGTTTCCCGGACCTTTTTCCCTTTCTCCTTGAAGAAGAATTTTTCTTATCCATCTTATTGCTAATTCCAGCAGCAACACCAGATTGTGTTTCTGAAAACGGGACGAACTCCAAATCATAGAATCTGGAACCAACCAGTTTTGCCGCAAAAGGAAAAAGTTCAGTTTTGGGGAATTTTAGGAGCATTTTATGGGCATTGTGGAAATGGGACACAGTTGACTTGTTCTCAGAAGAGTGTGGAGCAACAGAACGACGGAGAGAGACCAAGGGGAGGGGTGGAGACGAGGGAGTCAGGATATGATGAGGTGAAGTTCTTGTTTTTTGTTTGTGGGACTTCTGAAAATCTGGGGAGTGTGTCCCAGATCTGCTTTTCTTCTCAAGCCTGATTCAAATCAAACCTGCCTTGTTGAGATAAGCTTCATTATAAAATCCAGTGCAATAAAAAGAGATAAAGACTGCCACCTGTTAGAGGGAATTTCAGTTTCACCTGCAAGATTATCTGTTACAAAGAATGGAGCTGGAAAAGGATACTGTAGGTAGGAATTGAAACTTTTGAGTGTGTATGCCTGTGTCTCTCTATAGTATCTATAGATCTGATGGTGATGAGTGTGAATGTGAAGATACAGATGAGCTGGACTGAGTGTCTTTACAGTTTCTACAGATCTGATTATGATGAGTGTGAATGTGAAGATACAGGTGAGCTGGACTGAGTGTCTTTATGGTCCCTACAGATCTAAAGGTTATGTAAAATATAAAGTGTAAAAAATATGAGTAGTACAGTACATTGTGGTAAAGACGCACAGTAATTACTACAGTGCGGCCATTGGACTACAGTACTTTATGTATGGTAGAGTGCAGTATACAACAGTATAAAGATGACTACGGCGTTTTTAATAAGAATAATTTTAATATTAGAAATTGCAACTGATAGATTTATTGTAATGTTTCAATAGAAACCAATAGAAATAGAATCTGTAAATGTTCAAGTTGCTCAGGACAGAATTACTGTAGTTCAGCATGGTTCACTTATTGCACTATTTCCATTTGTGATGAATCAGTAGTGCTATTGTCAAGTCAAAAAAGTTTCCTAATACCCCCTAGCTTCACTATTAAGACCCCCCCTTCATTCTTAATACCACACAGATTCACTCTTAACAGCCACCTCCCCCCAGCCGGATTCAGTCTCGACACTCTCACTCTAAATAAACCCCTATTCACACAAACACTGCCCATGTTGCCCCCACACCCCCCTGATTGTGCACCCCAGTGCCCTTGTCACCACCCTGGTATGACATCGGAAGGAAGCCAAGGCCTGCAGGGGCAGGGCAAATATTTTCCATGTGAGAAAGAGCGTGAGGAGGGCAGGAGAGGGGGAAGAGGCAGGGAGAGAGGAAGAGAGGGGCTCAGCGCTGGTTCAGTGTGTGTTGCTAATCTGGGCTCTGTCAGTCAGACAGTGATGCATTCCCTACTGCCCTGCGTTAACTCTTCACACTGCACTCAGCCTGCACACGCACTGCACAGAGCCTGCATGGACTGTCCTCACTCTGCACAAGCCTTCACAGACTGTACACACACTGCACA